AGGAAGCACCCAGAATAAAGGCAGAAAGATGGAAATACAAATCATAGATTAATTTGGGGGCGGGGGCGGGAAATAAATGGGAAAAGAAGTCCAAAAAGGAGAAGAACTTATTAGTTGAAGAGCACAGGAGACTGGATGCAACAGAGCATTATTGCTTATACCTGTCACGTTAAAACTTGAAATAAGTCTTATGACATCCAAAGGAAGAGGAACAAGAAGGAGGGTGTATATTCAAGATCTGTCTTTCTTTGTTCATGTCAGAAGCATCAAAGGACAATAAATATATCAGATTTGTTTAAGCAATAATGGGCAACATTAAGAGCAATTGGGACAGTTAATATGAAGTCTTCTGGGGTACATGTTGAGGGGAAGAGTACCCTGACATCAGTGTGAAGTTGCCTGTTCTTCCCCACACTCACAAAGGATTGTGTTGGTGCAAAAACACCATATGCACTTTAAAAAGGTGTGGGAAACTGACCCTAAAAATCCTCAGAAACAGATTCAATATAAGTGCCCCTGAAGAAGGCTGAAAATATATTAGCCAAAATGTGTTGGGCTCTTATCTTTGAATAAAATACTGGTACCCATTTTTACATCCTGGGATGATCATCTCTCCTTGCTAGAAAGCTTCAGTGAATGTACCAGTCCTTTTTGTTTTTGTTAGCTTGTTATTAGACAAAGAAATCATAAAACACATTAAAGGCAGAAAGATGGAAATACAAATCATTATAGATTAATTTGGGGGCGGGGGGCGGGAAATAAATGGGAAAAGAAGTCCAAAAAGGAGAAGAACTTATTAGTTGAAGAGCACAGGAGACTGGATGCAACAGAGCATTATTGCTTATACCTGTCACGTTAAAACTTGAAATAAGTCTTATGACATCCAAAGGAAGAGGAACAAGAAGGAGGGTGTATATTCAAGATCTGTCTTTCTTTGTTCATGTCAGAAGCATCAAAGGACAATAAATATATCAGATTTGTTTAAGCAATAATGGGCAACATTAAGAGCAATTGGGACAGTTAATATGAAGTCTTCTGGGGTACATGTTGAGGGGAAGAGTACCCTGACATCAGTGTGAAGTTGCCTGTTCTTCCCCACACTCACAAAGGATTGTGTTGGTGCAAAAACACCATATGCACTTTATGTTCGCCGCCCCAGAAAAACTGTACATGCAGAGAACACTAGTCCTTAATGTAATATCTAATACTATATAGTTCTTGTTCTGTTGTATGATATTTTGGGTAGATGATGAAAACATTGACTTTATACTGTTTTGGTCATAAATACAGGTGTATATCAGATAAGCAAGCAAATCAAAGCTCACGATGGCAGCGTGTTCACACTCTGTCAAATGAGGAATGGGATGCTGCTGACTGGAGGTGGAAAGGACAGGAAAATCATTTTGTGGGATCATGACTTGAACCCTGAGAGGGAAATAGAGGTAGGCAAGACAATTACTATTAGTGTACTATAGAAATGCAGGAAAACTGTATGGAACACATCTTCATTGTTTGGTGAATGCACTAGATAAGATATTTAATCTCCCACCCTTTTATAGAGTTAATACATTTTTATCCTGACTTCCTCTAAGGAGAGCAGAAAACTATACCAGTTTCTTCTCAGCAATGCCTTCACAATAACCTTGTATAGTAGATTATGCAGCCAAGCCCACTATTGCCCAAATAACTCAATGGATGGGTGGAAATAAAAGACTACATCTAGTTGTTAACCCCAACTTTAGTAGATCCTATGAAGAAATGGGAATTGTTACATCTTTAATTATGTAGATTCTGCTGACTGAAAGAAGCTCTCTACCTGGTAACTTGCTCACAACATACCTTTGGTATTGCAAAATGTGTATGATATGATATATTTCTTGGAACCAGTTGATGTTTAACAAATCATAGCTTGCTAGCGGGGGTTTACACATCTCTACATATATTAACACAATACAGCAAGCCAGACCATCACAGATTGCCTTAAAATTCACAGCAGAGCAAGGATTCAAAGCCCAGTTTTCTGAATTGCAAATCAGCACTCCCCTTTCCTCCCTGTGCCAACTCAAGTTTCTGGAAGAACAAAATACATTGTTTCCTGTATTTATTAAATATATAGAGTCATCTTACTGGATTGATGAATGTACAGCCTCAGGGGAAATTAAATATACATTGTATGTAGGGAAATAGCTCCCAAACAGTTCTTTTTTTAAAAAAAATTAATGAAATGAAGAACCACATGCCAACTGGATATAAATCACCATTGTAAATGGTAAACAGTAACTTGAGTGGTGTAGATTGTTATCTCTCCATTCTCTTTGTTAATGTGCCATGTTCTGTGCACAGTCATTATTTGATGCTGAAAAATCCTTCCAGCTCCTTTGCTAAAATATAGCAATTGAAGTAAAATAATAGTCTATCTGGCAATTGTTCAGATAGCTTGTACAAAAGGCACATTTCAGAAAAAGCAAACATTCATAGGACACATTACAATAGTCAAGAACCAGTGGGTTTTTTAAAAAATCCTTTTATCATGCTATTAGACATTAGGCAAACAAATGACAGACAACATTTCAAAGTTATGGAAGCAGTTTAGAGAGGTTACATTTTTTTTCAACCAAAGCCTGCTGAGAAATGCTCTTAATATTTTTTTTTTTACTCTATGAAGAGTAAACAAAATTGGTATACAATAAAGAATGTAATACAGTATCTGGAAATTTCTTCTTTTCATTACCACTTTAGAAGTTGTCCTTAGTTTTTTGCATGAAAACCCAGGTCACATTTGTAAAAGGAGAATTAATAAGATGTATTCTAAGGCTCATCCCCATCATAACCATAAAAACTCATGACAAAGTTATATGCATTGATTAGTCCTTGTCATAGATAGAGAATATTCTTGATGCTTCTGTAATCTAAACAGTACCTTCTGTTGCTGAGTATTTATTTATTTGCTGTGTTTACATTTCTTCTAGTGAACATAAGGCAGTATGCATGACCCTTCTTCCCAGTTTATCCTTGGAGCAATCTTGTCAGGGATGCTCAGGCTGAGAGGAAATAACTCATGCAAGGTCATGCAGTCAGTTTCACGGTACAATGGGGACTGAAACCTGGATTGCCCACGTTCCAGTCAGTTATAGTAAACATGACAGGATCCTGGCTCTAGTAGAGGCAGATCCATTTTATGGGAGCAGGCCCAGTTCAAGAGGACCCCCATTTCCCCCTTCGAACTGACTTTTTCTGGAACTGGACCATGTACCCCACTTTTCTATTTTCCCATCCCCCTTTTCATTTATTAATTGTTTATTCATTAGTTATATTTTCCCAACCCACTGACCTCAACATAGCTTCCCTCTTCCATGCTATATCTTCACAACAATTCTGTGACATGGGTCAGAGTGAAGACTAGCCCAAGGTTACCAGTCATGGCAGAATGGGGAAGTGAACTAGGATAGCATAGGTCCAAGTCCAAACCTCCAACTATACCTTACTAGCTGTCATTAAATAAACACATTGTTGTGATTCTCCTTCTCCCGTCCTTTACCTTGTAAAAGGAGAAAGAACGGTTGAAGAAAAAGATGACCCCCTCGACATAGGCAGCTGTGATTCGCCCTATTAGCACAAGCAGCTTTATTTCCTGCTGAGAATCAGGGGAACATGTAATCAAGCCTCATGATCACTGGAGAGAAATGAAATGTTCTTTCTCACTTAGTGCCCTGCACATTGTTGAGGGAACACCTGTGCTCCCTCCTCCTTCCTCCATCTGGCTTAGAAAAACAGATGAGGCAGGGCAGTAGGGAAGGCAGCAGTGAGAAAAATAATTGTTTTCAAATATGCATTGATCACTCAGATACTATGTTAACACTCTAGATGTAATCAGAGGTGCACACCTGAACATGGTGTTTGTTGATAGTGGTCATCATTCCATTTCATTAAGTATAGGAGTGGGCAACATGTTGTTCTCCGGATATTATTACGTTGCAAATCCCATCACCTCTTACCTGCATAGTCCATGTGGACTGTAGAGAGATCATGGGAGTTGCAGTCCAATAGCATCCAGTGGCCATAGGTTACTCACCCCTGATTTACTCTGCTCCTGCCACATATGTAATTAGTCAGTAAAGCATTTGAAAAAGCTCAGTGGGGATTTAGCCATGGGTCCAATGTCTTTGGGCATGTTAGCGGAAGTCAGTCTAAAATTTATCTCTCACAGTTATGAACACAAAATAGAGCAACTCCATGTATAACAATGTGTGTTCTTTGGATAAAAGAAGGCAAGAAGATACAGTTGCAGGAAACAGCATGTTCAAAATAAGTAAATTTCAGTAAATTTCCATTGGTATGCCACTGGAAGTGGCTGAGAGATTTTTGTATACGGCTTTAGCCTCTAATAATTATGATTTTTATTTATGCTCTGAGGTGTATGATAGGGAGTTAAAGGAAATGTGATTTTCTTAGGTTCCTGATCAGTACGGAACAATCAGAGCCTTGGCTGAAGGCAAAGGAGATCAATTTATACTGGGGACTTCACGGAATTTTATTTTGCGAGGAACATTTAACGACGGTTTCCAAGTAGAAGTACAGGTATGTTTATTTCCCCTCCTTGACCTGGAATATGAACATTTAATTTGTTTTTTTATTATAGAGTCATGGATATTTTTGTGACAATTTTGGTTACTGTGTCTCTTTGTTTTTAAGGGTCACACAGATGAACTTTGGGGCCTGGTAACACATCCGTTCAAAGATCTCTTCTTAACATGTGCTCAAGATCGGCAAGTGTGTATGTGGAATTCTGCAACCCACACACTTGAATGGACCAGGCTGCTAGATGTATGTGACCTTTTGTTGAGAAACACTCTACTACAGTCATGTAGCACTTGTCGGCATATGCAAGGGAAGCATCTCTCTTGCTAGGTGTTTAGGGAAGAAGTCAGTTCTGTCATCCATAATAAGCAAGGGCAAGAGCTTGGAAAAATGTCAGTAGCAATATTTTGGTTTGGAGGTGGGGAAGGGTCCATAGATTGGTAGCACAAGTTTTGCATATGGAATATATTAAGTTCATTCCCCAGCATGTCATTAAATGTTTCAGGTACTGGGAGAAACTTATTCCTGAGAAATTTAAAAAAATGAGAGCCATTAAAAGTGGGCAATACAGTTCTAAATTGGTAAATTGTCTAACCTGTTATGTCCCTACGCATATGCAAAATGTATGGCTTATGCCATTAAAGATGACTGCAATTAATAGGTAGCCAGGAGTAGATTGACAGTGTTTTGGAAAGCTGTTGTTGTTTATAGAAATAAGACAAACAGGCATTAAGAATTCTGATTAGTGGCCATTTGGAACCAGATTCCAGCTGGAAATTTAATTTTTAGTTGTACATACTTGTCCTACATCAGTAAAGCTTACTCACATGAGAAGTATGCATTTATGTATGCATTTATTTTGTTTCTTGCCTTTCTGCCAAAAAATTGCACTCAAAGACAGCTGACAACAGTAAAATTCAGACAGAAACAAATACATTGAAAAGAAAAATGTCCTTTTCAGCTTGGATTCCCAAGACCTCTCTGAATAAAAAATTACCTGCCACCAGAAGGGAACAGAGATGGAGGTGGTTTAACTTTCCTTCACCCCATTATAAAAGTTCCAGAGCCTGGGAATGGCCATCAGGGAAGCTCTCTCTTACATTCTCTACCAAATCTGCCTCTGAGGGTGGCAGGACTGAGAAAAGAACTTCTTCCAAAGATTTTTAAAACCTCGGTAGGCTCAGAAGGGTTGGGGCTTCATAAGCAAGCAGGTTTGTAATGTGTGTTTGCAAGGTGATATCATTCCATGATATGCTTTTGACATTGCAAGCACACATTGTGCCCTTGAGAATAGTAGTCCCCAACCTCTTGGTCACCAGATGTTGTTAACCACATCTCCCAGAATCTCTCGCCATTGCTCAAGTCACCTGAGGCTTGGGCTAGCTCACAGACAAAACCATCTGGAGGGCCAGATGTTGGAAAGCACTGTCTTAGTTTTTTTAACAGTGCAGATATGCTCACTTATATCTTTTTTAATATTGGAGGGAATAAGGGCATGGAGAAGGAATCAAATGTACTATTCTAGGATATTGGAAATGGAAACAGTTCAAACAGCTGTACAGCCATGTGAACGCTGGTGACTACGATACTAATTTGTCCATATGATAATGGTTCTCTAGTTCAAGCAGCTGTACAGCCATGCTGGTGACTACGGTACTAATTTGTCCATATGATAATGGTTCTCAGGTGAATAATCTTTTTGAACAGAAATACTTTCTTTGTGGAAGAGAGTTCATGTGTCTTTATGTTGCCGATTGATACCATAGTAAGCACAGAGAATGTCGCTTCCTAAGCTGCAATCACAGCTTGGAAAAGTTACTTCTTTGGACTAGAACCTTCAGAAACCCCAAACCAACATGACCAGTAGTCATGCTAATTAGGGGATTCTGAATCCAATTTTGTAGTCCCAAGAAGTAGTTTTTCTAAACTCTTGCTAGAGCTAAGTTTACTTTATTTTCCTTCTTTTCCTTCTTTCAGTCCAGGTGAGGAAAGGAAATGCACTGTATAAATATCTATGTGAGTGTTACCAGATTGCAGTCTAAATCATAAGACCAAAATGTGTCTTCTAGGAACCAGGACATTGTGCTGACTTCCATCCAAGTGGAACAGTGGTAGCAATAGGAACACACTCAGGAAGGTAATTTGCATTCTACTTCTGTTCCAATGATTATTTCACTGCAAAGTGGTAAAAAGGGGTGAATACTGTCTGTTTCAAAATTATTCTTGCTTATATTGTTCTCATTGATATGGCATTCATTTTTTAAAATGTACTTTATATATTTAGATTGCTCCTTTCTTTCATCGTGGAACTCAAGGCAACATGCAGAGGGTTCTCTGGTGGTCTTCTATCCAGGTGCCAACCAGACCCTTACCTGCTTAGTTTCAAGGAAGTGGCTACATGCTATGTTCTTAGGCATCCTATATTCTCAGTCATTTCTCCTTTCTTCCTTTAGGCAGTGTTTGGGAAAGGACATGTTTAGGAGCAAGAACTTAAAAATATGACACATGTGTAAACTTACACTTTCAAAGTGTTGATGATGTTTTTACCAATATGTTCTCCATATAGTGAGCCTGCACATTGTTCTTTACCTCCCTTTTTTTCTTCCTCTATCCATTTCTAGGGTCATAAAAGCTGGATATAAATAAACAAATGAAACAAGTTTTAAAAAATTAATCTATGATTTGGATCAGTATGGGATTCCATTGATCAGATGTTCTTCCCAGCATGGAGAATGTTGATCAGATGTTCTCCCCAGTATAGTCAAACTGAAGAGGCCATTGGCTGGGGATTTTATGCTGTAGTCTGAAACAACAACAAAACCAACTTGCCCAAGCTCTGCAGTGAATGAACTGAAAGTTCGGATGATAGGAGAGCAGCACAAAAAAGCAGAAGTCATAAATATATTACAGTAGGATCTTACTCAGATTTTGTGGGTAGCGAATAGAAATCCAGTGTAACAGACAGGCAGCCAATTCCAGCCTTTCAGACATTTGTCACTCTTGCTGCTCATTCAGATTGCCAAAGATCCATCATTGCTTAATAACAGAGTTGCCATACCTACAGGACCAGTTGTGAGAGATGGCCATGAAAAGTAGCATGCCTCAAAATCTTCTTATTTTATTACTGCCAAGTGAAATGCATGTCCCCTTCTTCTATTCTACCAATCAAAAATTTTAATGTTTTGTTTCCAGTGAAACCCAGCTCTTTTCAGAATCTGGTACAACTGGTTTACCATCTACTCCCTTCCACACTTTCACTTGGAAATCAGAGATTCTCAAGAAATTTATTTTTCCCCATAGTGAAACCCTGTGATTAAAAAATTACTTTTTTTTTTTGGTAAAGATTGTGTTTGAATGGATGGATTTTAGTACCTGGAACATTTTTTGAACAGGTGTGTTCCTTATTATCAGTCACCTTTCATGTATGTATAAAACTATTGAAAGAACAGTGATCTACTTTTAAGAATAGGGCTCCAGAATATAGATTGTCTCAGATGTGGATAAGTCAGAGCTGGAGTTTTTTAAACATTGACAGAACTGGTTAGATCATTTGCTGGGTTTTTTTTTAAATGAATCAATAATTTCATCCATTTGTGTCAATCCATTATATTATTAGCCCACCCAGATTCATGGCAACTAGGCTTTGCCATGGAAACTCACTGGGAGGGGGTGGATTGTGGATCTTTTAAAATCACTTCTTAAATATGTCACTTCTCTTGAAAACTTTATTATCTTTGCTTGAAGACAGTCCTGACTTGACAGCAGATAGCACCAACAACTAGGTAATATTCTGTACTCTTGCATCAATAAAATCCAAAGCATACTAATGACAGATTTTTGAAGTGATATCTTGTGACTCTCCAGATGTTGGAGATGTTGGACTATACTCCTTGTCAGCCTTAGCCAGCATAGGCAGTGGTGATGACTGTGAGTTGCAATCTGATGAAATCCCTATGGCTTCACTTTGTCTCTGCTTGCATTTAATAATACTTGTGAACCATCCAGTTAATCCTGACACGCCAAAACTTCTCAGTGTTTTTTATGTACAAAGTATTCAGAAGCAGTTTGCCAATCTCTTCTGGGACTGATGCATTCTCAGACCATGAAACTTGCCCAAGACCACACAGTCTGCCTCTGCTTCCATAAGGAATCAAACTCCTGACCCCTGGCTCTACAGCCATGTGCTCTGAATCTGGGAGCTAAAAAATAACAATCCATTCCCATAGAGTGCTTATCAAGTTCACCAATCCATAGCAGTCATGATACTGATACTGATGAAGTTCCCAAATAACCTAGAAGAAAAACATCATGAGGATGTCATTGATCCTGTCAGGGATGACCCAAAACATTTTGCGGTTTGAGATGAAGAATTGGCTGTAGGTGAACCCCCCTTTTCTGGTATGTGTCTGTTGCCCCCCCGCCAAGTCTTAATATTGAAAGTGGTTTCTGCTGCTATCCAAGGAAAACATTGCAGCCTTTTTTTCCACTGGTTCCATCCATCTTGGAAATACATAGCATATTCACAAACCAGGGTGGTATGTTGTGCTGCTTCATGTTGTCTGCCTTTGATGTGGTCCCTTAACCACAAAATAATTTTAAGGCATTTGGAATAGGCCCTTTTCCAGATATCTGGTTTTAAGAAGCTGGTTTTTTGGAGGCCACAGTAGAAAATAATGAGAAATGATGCCTTCTAGAGACTTTAGAACTGAGTAGTCTTGCTCATAGTGGGCTTTTGAGCTGTCAAGATCAATGTTGTTTTGCTCCTCATTTTTTAAATTTTGGATGCGGCATTTACAGGCGGTACTGTGGTTGTTTATGTAAATGGCTCCAGTGTGTGTCTCTCTGGTCCAACAGATGTTCGGCACCCTTGCAGACCTAAGAGCCCTGAGATTACAATAGCCAGTGTTGGCTGCCTACAATAGAGAAAACTTCATAACCACATAGTTCAGTGACAGATGATGGTTACTTGAAATAAATCCCTTGATCACATCCTTGTCACATGCAGCAGTCCTCAGAGTGGATCCAGAGAATTTCTACACAAACTAGTAGGGGAAAAAACATCCATAGAGACGCAGACCAGACATTCTGTTGGTCTGTCATGATAGCCCAATTCAGTAAAACATACCTTATTCAGTAAGACCAACCAGTATTCACAGCTCAGCCCTTTGCTTTATTCTAAAAGCCTATCTGCTTTACATAGTTCTGTTCCTAATCAATCCTAAATCCTTGAAACTGAAGGGTTTCCATTTCTTATCATGTTGTTTAGACTCTTGCAGCCACAGTCTCCAAGTTAAGCCTGTAACACTCTTTTGTCAAGAATCCTGTTGGAAAAAGCCACACACCACCACCACCACAACAACAACAGCACAAGCATTTTGTATTCTCTGGTATGGTTCTGGTTGCATAAATGGCCATGCAATCAGTTTCACAACTAGCGTACATCTGATTATGTATCAGACCAGAGGGCACGAGCCACTTGCCTGCTTACCATTGTATGTTCAGATTGATTAACGACATTATGGTCTTAATTTAATTTTTAACTTATTTTTTAATCCTGTATGATGTGTGATTTATGTAAGCTGCACAAAGATTTTATTCTGATAAAAAGCATGTTAAAATGTATTATCTATTAATTACATTTATATTCCTCTTTTCCTTAAGGGAGCTCACTTCTCTCCTCCATCCCCCTTTATCTTCACAACAGCCTTGTGAGGTTGGTCAGGCTGACCAAGGTTACCTACCCTGTGAATTTCATGGCTCGCTGGGGAATTAAACATAAATCTCCCAGCTTCTGGTCCATCACACTAACCACTACACATCCTGACCCCACATTCCTATAATGACGGGGGGGAGGCTTAAGGCAGATTAAGGGAGTAATGTCTTATGTCATGCTAATTTATAAGTAAAATTTGTTCTGCAACTCACAGTCTTGGATGCTTCTTTACTCCACACGTTATGCTGCCTTATGCTTGGGGGGGGGTGTTTCCAATTAATGAAGAGGTGCTGCAGTACTTTTGATTTGATTGAGTCATTGTTTTCCTCGTGCTCCTTTCCAATTAATGAAGATGTGCTACAGTACTTTTGCTGTGATTGAGTCATTGTTTTCCTCGTGCTCCTTTCAAAATGTAAAGAATCTTTTAGAACTATAGAGCTGAAAGGGATCCTATGGATGATCAAGTCATCAGTTATTCATACCTGTCTGTGTATGCCATGTTCAGAGGTGCATATTCTCCACACAGATGCTTGTTTGCGACAAATTTTTTTTGCAATGTATGGCATTAAGGATGCTTCTGAACAGAAAACAAACTGATTGATCATACCCTTAAATTTTTTCTTTTATCTGAAAGTAACATTTTCAAGAAGTTTCTCCTCTTCTCCTTAACAGGTGGTTTGTTCTGGATGCTGAAACAAGAGATTTGGTTTCAATACATACAGATGGCAACGAGCAGCTCTCAGTGATGCGCTACACAGTAGGTAGGCATAATTGTAGCTAACATACAGCATTTGCTTGTTTCTAAGTACGTGTTTCAGATTCTCATAAACAGCTGCTTTACACTGACACTTAATGTGTCTTAACACCCAAATCAACTTAGGCTCCAGTATTTAACAAAGTAGGTCATTGTTATAATAAATGTGGAAATTAAGAATTTCTTCTTTGTTGTGGCTGCATCTAGATCAACAGTATTGTTTGCCACACTGTCTCCATAAATAGTGGGCTAGAGAAAACTTTTAAGAGATACCAGTTCAGACAAAAAGAGAACTCACAAAATGGCAGCAATAACAGGGAAACAAAAGGCAGATAATTTATTGCTGTCTTTTGGAGTTTATTCATTCATGTTATTCATTAAACCCTGCCTTTTTATGTGATAAACAGATTCTAGTTAGCTTACAAAACAGTTAAAAGATACAACACAATACAATAAATTACAATAATTTAAAAACCCTTAAAACAAATTATCATATTAAAATAGCCACTTAATCAAATTACTCCTTAAAACAATTTAAAGGTGCATATGAAAAAGGTAATGTCAGTGTGGTATACTGGATAGAGTATAGACAACATCTCAGGAAAACTGAGTTCAGATCCATGCCCAGTCATAGAAATTAATAGTGAACACAAATTGTACTGATAAGAAACATGCATTCAAATATCTTGTTGTCATATGCTGTCAAGTCAAAACTGATGTATAATAACCCTAACAGGGCTTTTCATGGTAAATGAGATATTTAAGGAGTGATCACAGTTCCACACTCCCAGTGAGTTCCCATGACTGATCAGGGATTCAGACCCTGGTCTCCAGAGTCCTAGTCCCTCACTCCATCCACTACACCACACTGAGTACCTAAAATATCTTATATACCTTGAAAACCTTGTTGGGGTAACCTTAAGTCAGATGTAACTTGATGGCACATAACATATAGCACAGACACAAAGTCATGCAGATCATTTGTTTCATTTGAAAACCATTCTGCACTGCATCTTGGAAATCTTACTGATGTCCAGGTCCTTCCTTGCAGCTCTTCTGCTGCTGTAGGTAGCCTGTACAGTGAAGGAGTAGGGAGGGAATTTTTAATACCTCAAGGAAAATACAGAAGCTCCTCGATCTCAGACAAGTGTTTCACTTGCAATTGTGCACCAGTCACAGATGCAGAATGGCTGACAAGCATTGCATTAAAGCCCTGTGAGTTATTCTACCTGTATATTCCATCATTCTGCAGCTCTAATGTTCATTTCTGTGAGACAGTCAAGTATCAGAATCTCTAAGACTCTCTTTTTATCAGGCTGACAAATTGGTGGTGGCATCCACAATCCTTCTGTTACTGCTGGGTGCACCAGCTTGCAGCATATTGTTCAAATAACGATCACTCGCAGATACAGCAGAGGTCACTTGTCACGCTCCAGGCCTATAAAGTGGCTAATTGTGCTGCAGTTACATGACTCAGCATTTTAAAAGTACACAGAAGTTTGTATAAGCCACTTGAGAATTCTCTTGTAATGCCAAGAATATGTAGCTACATGTGTAGCTAGTTGAGCTGAGTTCAGAGAAAGAAAAGGCATCCACATTCCACACAATCCTCCAATTACGTTAGTGCTGCTCTTATAAACACAGTGGGGAACCGTCTTGATGCTGCTGCACTGTAATTGGTATCAGCCTTAGTTGGCATTGCCAGTAGTGAGAAATAATGGGGACCGGAGCAATATCTGAAGGACCATATAGCTTTTCTTCTCGCTTCCTGCCTTTGTATTGGAAGCATCTTAAAAACATCATGTAGCAAAAAAAAAAGAGTATTACAAATATTACACATTAAATTAAAATTATTAGACCAAACAGATGGCAGCATTTGAATGGCACAGCCACAGTTAAAAACAAGTCTGCCAGGGCAGCAGCTAAATTGCTGACTGGCACAGATTATAGGAATCAGTGCCTGTAGTACTTGCGTAACCTGCATGGTGCAGGCAGATTGCAAGAGTCAGGAATATTGCACACAGTAGTGTGGCTTCTTTTGGAATACAGTGTGATATCCCCCCTCCTAATTCCCTAGTGGGAGTGTAGTTGCTTTATAAAAATGATTTAGACTATGCATAGCAAAAGTGTAGTGAGAGCCAGGATCACAAGGAACAGAGTAGATGAGATTAAAAAGGTGGAGGAGGGGAAATCCCGAAAATTAGGCACTTTGTGTGAATGGAGCTTGGCTTCTGCAAGGTGCTTCTGCCTTAATTTTGGCCAGTCGGCCCATCTCCCAGGAGCAGCTTTTTCAGGTTTTTAGGACTGCAGTGTGGGAAATGAAGCAGTGTGACAGACTGTGTCTGCAAGTTTCTTTCTACTCACTGTTCTCAGAATGCAATCTAATAACTGGCTTGGAGTTTACAAGTTGACTTTCCTGTTTAGGAAGTTGAAGGGTCCTGCAAAGATAACTGTTTTCCATCCATAGTCAACATGACAATAGCACATGAACTCTGGCTCATAGGTTTGTTTCGTTGTAATTTCCTTCTCCCTTCAAGCGCTTCAAGTGGGGAGAACTAAAATCCCAAATAGTTTTGGTATACCAGTCACTTGTGGATCAAACAACATACAGTATTTATCTCTAATTTGCATTGCAGATGGCACCTTACTTGCTGTGGGGTCCCATGACAACTTCATTTACCTCTACACAGTAACAGAAAATGGAAGGAAATACAGCAGATACGGAAAGTGCACGGTGAGTTTTTCTGCAAGGTAAATTATTAACAGTAATGGGGATTTGTGAATTCAGCCTGCGAAGCTGTGCAGTTTTCTTGTCTGTCTGGATCTGAGTTTCAAAGCACTTTGCAATGTAAAAAGTGTTCTCATAGGTTTCTCCCACAAGCAGAAAACAAACTGTAAATCACCTAAAAACATTTTTAAAGGGCCCTACTCCAAAAGCACAGTAACAATGGATCAGAGCAAGATCATTAGATGTCATTGTTTTTTTTTAAAAAAAAAAACTCCCACTAATTACATTTCAGTAGACTTTTACACACAGTATTAGGGAAATGTTTCACAGTTCACTTTAAAGTGCTTGTGCTCTGCCATTGCACATGACACAGTATTGCTTCATGGATTTCCAAAGAGATGGGGAAAGTTACTTTTTAACTTGCATGAGACTCCCTGGGGGTTTTAATCCAGAAAAAGTATATTTTCCAGTTTCTAGATATTCCAGTCATGATTGCCCTGTCTCCTTGTGGCTTGCTTGAATAGCATAAGGAATGAAAACATCATGATGGCCCCTTTGCGTATGTCCCTAGTGCATCCCTGTACCCTTCTTGGGAAAAGCATGGTTGCGGAAGCCAAAGAGTTGACTTTTCTAAACAATATATTGAGCAACAGTTGGAGGCAAAAAGTCTAAGGAGAATGAACACCACTTTAATTTTAGTACCTAGTTTGATTTTACAGAGCTTCCTTCTGTCCTTTAGTTCCATTCATATGTTATTGCAACAATTTAAAAACTGCTTCTGACTTCCATTCCAGTTTGTGATAATGCCGCAAACTGGAAACATATGGATAAGGACCAGTTTTGTGGGTCCTCTCCTCCTATGTCAGTGGATTCTTTTTGAGTGCATTCATGGTTATCAGTGTAGGCCAAGGTGGCTATTGTTATGATTTAAATACTACAAGATGCAAAAGCAGATTGCTTGTAAAGGTTAAGGTTTAGAAGAGGGGTTGTGATGTGCGCGTAGGAGAATGTAGGAGGCTGCCTGAAACTAATTCAGCCTCTTGGCCCATCAAGCAAAAGTGTATGGCAGTTATTCATCAGTGAAACCTTTTCCAGAACTATCTACGTATACCGTACGGGAACCGCATGGAATCCCTGCATGCACACCATGGCTCTTATTGGGCTATGTTCCCCCATCTATCCTCTCTGCTATCATGGTCTTCTCCTTTTTTCTATTCTCTGTTCTGCCTTGGTCTTGGTGAAGTACAGCACATGCTTTGCATGAAGCAGGTCTTCTGAAAAATCTTACAGATTTGCTGCCCATCAGTGTAGAAAAGATGAGCTGTATGATACAACTAAAGACAACATACACCTGGCTCCAGGTGGTCTCCCAAATACTAAGCAGATCCAGACTTGTTCAGTTTATGCAAAGCTGTTTGCATTGTGTGCCTGCAGACTATGCCTGGAAATACCCCAGAGTTTGTAATCAGTAGCTTTGCATGCTCCCTTAAGCTTGCAGGTGGAATGTGTAGAACATTTCCACTCAGACTAGTGCCAACTATTCCTTCAGTCTTACTCCTGAGCCACTTTCTATTTATCCTCATCTTCCTATCTTGAAGTTTGTGCAGCTGCAGCATCTATTGCCCCCTTGTGGGGAATGTCTGGGTTGACAAAAATCAATTGTCAAAAAGAGATTGAGAGAAGTAGACGTATGCAGACTTCTGTTTTTGGATTACAGCTCCCAGAGCTGTCTAGAATATTCTGGGAGCTGTGATCAAAAAAACACAGTTCTGCACACATCTGTTTGTAACAAACTGGATGATCTCTTTATGTGAAGAGGGTTGCTGTCGTGCTCTTGGCTGGCAGCTTTTTGGCCATCTCAAGGCATTCAAAATGCTTTGCAAAGATGCCATGGCACTGCAGCAATATCCCTTTTCCTCTTCAGCCCAAACAAGGCGTGAAATGTGTAGGCCGATGATAAATCAGCCAACTTAGAAGCATCAAAGGGCCATTATTCAGTAAGAACGGGGAAACCAAGGAAGAAGCCTAAAAGAAACTTATAGAAGTATACAGCAGGTCGTGCTGGCATTTTGACATATTGGGAACTAGAAGAGCTCATTACACCTTAGAAATTTTCCTCTATAGGTCCCAGTATTCCCTTAGCCAATGTGGTCAGGTTTTTCAAATCCCCCCATAATATATTTTCCACGCTTTGCAGAATAATTGTATTGTGGATTCCTGACCATTCCCTGCCCTATAGACTTTGTAAGCACTGGAGTTTCTTAGTTGTCCTTCCTATTGAGCTCTCCACTGCTGAGCCTACCTGTGTTTCCCTCTACCTTCTGTTTCTTTAGTGTTCCTTAGCCACTACTATCCTAAGTATTATACCTTCTGTGATCCTTTCCCCACCACCACCACCTTGTCATACATCTTGCATTCCATCTAGCCTGTGTGTCTTCTCTCCCCACCCATTAACTACTGTAGCCCAAACATATCTCCCAGACACCAGTCCTTCTAATGCTCTTTGCATGTATTGTGACCTGCTGGAATCACATTGTTAAATACCAAGCTAGTCACCTGTACTGTGCCTTCCTGGGTAGAAATTGTGTAGGCCTGCTTTAGATGCAAAGATCCATTTTGTCTTGGAGGACTGGTTTGCCAAAGGGACCAGTAGAAATCCTGACCCTATAACTTCTTTGAAACCCCTAAATTGTTATTCTCAAGTCCCCTAGTACATCATAAAGTGGTTCATGATGTTCTTTCCCACAATTTCCATTTCTATGATTTCACTTGCTAGTTCTGGGAATATTTATATCATAAGGAATGTTTGCAGGTGCTATATATTACCTGTTGATTTAATTGGCTAAATGCAGGGAGATCTGGTTTAACTCAGTCCTTCAGCTTTTGTTTTGTTTGTTTGTCCATGTGCTTTGTAACATGATCACTTGTCGAGACTAAAGAAGCGGAATGAAAATTTGTTAAGCATATTTGGGCTGTGTATTTGAAGTTTCTAATTTGAATGCTCAGCTTGACATCCCAAGACCCTACCTCAAGAATAAGATGTCCCAAAAAGAAAATGCAGTATACTCAATGTCTTAAAACGAAGACATTGGGACTGAAGCAGAAAACTGTATTTGATTCAAGGTTGAGCCTTTGTTTGGAGTCTTTTGCACTCATTTGAAAAAGGACCAAAATGTAATCCAAAATAATATATCTGGTTCGAATGAAAGATCAGAACAAAAGTTGGAATAATGATGATTCAAGACTTCATTCTGCATTTTATGCTCAAATCCAAGCTAGATCCATACAAGTGTTTTCCAGATGGCCAATATTAACTGAAGGATTTAGAGCACCATCCCATACCTGTGTAGGCCAATGAATTTTTGTTTTTACAGAAGTACATGTTCCACTGAACGTTAAAATGGGTATCATAATGTCTTTGTGTCCATTAGAAATGTGCCATAGTCATCCCCTTGTAAGCCTGGACACATATATACTTATATATTTTACAACCAAAGAGGCAATAGTAACTGTTCTTATGATATGTACAGTATCTAACAAGTAAAATGTCTGCTGCGCTACAATAACTGAAGGAGGTTTTAAATGGAATGCACAGCTCCACTATTTATGCTATTTTATTGCAGCAATGTGATTTGAGACCTTTTCTACCTTAGTTTAACTTGCTTGAAGGAATATTCTTGCACATGGGAGCCTCTTCCAAATTGCTTTTTCCCCCCTGTTCTTCATTTCCCACAGGAATGTTAACAGCTGCCAAATGTCTGGCAGGGTCTAGTAGATGGTTGTCTTCCCACCACCTCCTCAAGTTACTGCTAGCTTCCAGCATCATAATGATCTGAGATGAGGGAAGGAAGAGGAAGATTACATGGAGCTTTACTTCTTCTCTTTTGAGCCCCATGTTTTCCTTTTTTCTATTTAGCAACGAATCATAGTTTGAAGTTGTATCTTGGCACAGACCCAAAAGTTCAGGAAGTTACTTTTGATAACTACAGCTGCCAAAAACTCCCAGTGAGCAAGGCCATTGTCTTCTTGAAGTTGTGGTCCTGTTGGGAAAATAATGTTAAAGAATGATTTTGTCAAGGTTTGCACAAACCACATTTTGCTCAGGTCCAAATGCGGAGACAGACCTACAGTTTTCCCACTAAAGCAGATACAAGAAGGGTGCAAGTGGAGGCAGGGTCAAGAAAGCACTTAGTTTCACCATGCTTTTTTGACATTGTGTTAACTTGCTGGCTATGGTGGACTTTCAGAGCAGCAAAATATATGAATCCGTATTAGGGTTCCCACTAAACCTTTGGATGAAATTGAAGTATAAGTCACTTGTCCTGTAATTGATGGTTTTTATAAATAGACTTGGCTCCTAACTCTTGGTTCTATTGAAGTTTGCATACGGTCCTCTGTTGGTATTGGTGAGAACAGATTCAATATCCTTCAAAATAAAAACAGCATAAACAGTGTTGCTGCAAACACAGTGCCTGCTATGATTTAGATATTCACTTAAATACAGAAGATATGACAATGTGTATAGATAAGAAATAAGAGTGTCATATTTTCTGGCTTACATAGATTAAAAGAGGCAAACTGAAATTTGCCACTAGAAGTGCACTCTGATAAGTAGGACTGTGCCATTTGGATTTTTTGGACTCCAGCTCAAGGAATTCTCCAGACAGAATTTTGAGAGTTTCATCCCATAGACCAATACCTATGGACACTTTCAGACATACCTTCATTTTGCTCATCTGGAAAAGGACCTAGCTTGAAGGCTCCATAGCCTTGTTTCAGCTGAGCTTCCTGTTAAAAATCAGAATCTGTCCTTGTGTTACCTGGGAGTCCTAGGGCTTCCTGGGAGGTATATTCTCACTGCCCATTCTAGTAGCACTGGGTAAGCTTGCTTTTTTTTTTTTTTAACATGGAGCCTTTTAGTTAGGCCCTTTTCTGGGTAAATGAAATGTAGGTGTGTCTAAAAGTGTTGGTTGGAAGTCACAGAATCCTTCCCGGGATTTCTTGAAGAATTCTGGGAGTTGGAGTCCAAAAAAATCTGAATGGCACATCCCAGTGATTAGAGAGTTAAAGCCAATGTTGGCTCCCTAGTTGTTGTTTTTCTTTGAAAACACATTTACTGTTTTCAAGGTGTAATTTTTAGGTGAAAGCTTAAGAAAACTTGCCTTGTGGTGCAGTGGTTAAACCGCTGTACTACAGTCAAAACTGTGCTCATGACCTGGGGTTCAATCCCAGGTAGCCGGCTCAAGGTTGACTCAGCCTTCTATCCTTCTGAGGTCGGTAAAATGAGTACCCAGCTTGCTGGGGGGGGGGGCAATGTGTAGCCTGCATAATTAACTTGTAAACCACCCAGAGAGTGCTTGAAGTGCTATGGGGCGGTATATAAGCAGCACACTTTGCTTTGCTTTGCTTTGCTTTATGTATTAGAGTGTCCCTGTCATGCATAGTATTCCTTGAATATACACTCTTCAGATTTTTCTGTAACTGACTGCCTAATTGCAGTGTTAAAATGGAAGTGGTGATAATTTATGTTGCTTTTTTAACCTACATTATTAATATTGTTTGTTCTATTATTGGAAGTTATTGTTAGGTCCACTTGTGGAGAAATGTAGGGTATAAACAAACAAACAAACAGTATACTGTCCTTTTAGAATACCGCCTCCTGATGTAGGATAAACTCATCCATTATGTAGGCTATATATTGTTCCCAGAATCAGAAGCATTATGCCTTTTTATATTGAGATCAAAAAAAGACTTTGGGAGATATGTATATTCCCTATGGTTAATCATAATTCCCCTCCCCTATGGAATTTTCTCAGGCATATGGCTCAGCAATCATTGGAAATTAATCCTGTGTTCACTTTCCAGTAACCATTTCAAAAACTGGCTAAATGCCTCAGTGAGTTGGGCATCTGGCTGGGAGTTCTACTATTGTGCCTTGCAGGAGTAGAACCAGTTATATAGCCTTGGTCAAGTTGTGCAGGCTCAGGAGAAGGGAATTGTAATCCACTTCTGAGTACTCTAAAACCCTGAAAAGGGTTGGTGTAAGTCAGAATTAACTCAAGAACATGCTGGATTTTTTTTAATTATCCATCCATATTAAAGAAAGCACACTCGATGCAGGATATTGGGGTGAGAAAAATCTCATATTGTGACCAAAAAAAAACACATCTGGAAACAATGTGATAAACCAGTCATCTAGTTGGACTCTTAGCTGTTGGGAAGTACAGATGGGAGAGTTGGCCATTGTGGGAACAGAATGATGGACTAATGAGTGCTTTGGACTTACCCATCATTTCTCTTTTTTACAATTTTCCTTGTATTTATAAAGCTCACTGACTGCTCTTTAATTCATTTTTTAAAATATTTAGAAATTATGCAAACTTCCATATTGAAGCTGTTCTTTCTGCCATTTTTGGCTGGGTTCAAGTCTGGTTTGAATCATTTTGAACAGTTCTTTTGTACATTGTGCTTCTGGCCCATCTTCTAGGATTCTGCCTTGTTACTTTTGCTGGTTTAAATGAGGAGAAAGTTGGACAAAATTAATACTACAGTTGGCTATAATAAACAGGAGAGAAAGACTTCACTATCCATGCCATGTCATGCAAACCATTCTTGGCTTCCAAATAAGCCCCACTGAAATGGTTGGCTGCTTTGCAGCAAGCAAATTTAGTAGCTTATTCCTATAATCTGTTGTGTCATATTCTACAGAAGAGTATTTTAATGGAAAGATTAAACAGGGAAGCAGCAGGAAATACTGACTTGAATTTTGATCACTTGTCTATTTCTTGTTTGTTTGTCTCTCTGTGTGTGTGTATTTTAGGGACATTCCAGCTATATTACACACCTTGACTGGTCCCCAGAAAATAAGTACATAATGTCAAACTCGGGAGACTATGAAATATTATACTGTGAGTACAACCCTACAATTACCTCCAGCCTAGAAAACTCTGTACAATCATGATGAGAAATAGGAGTGACAGGGTGGGGAAGAAGGCTGCTAGAAGCCAAAATATGGGTGCAAAACATTTGCTGACTAGAGATCCTGGTATGAACTTCTGTAACCTAACCATGTAGTATATTGTGCAAAGCTATTCCTTACCTTATGGCACTTGCAAATATAGCACACGTCTCTGCAAGGATATCAGTCAATTCAAAAGTTTACAGAGGAGACTGGTGGTGGAGGATGCTATGTCAGTTAAGCAAGTCTGGGGCTTTAGAAATGACATTACACGTGCTTCCCTTGTCAGTTACTGGTGTGGCGAGCAGACATTAAAAACGAAGTTTTTATTATAATAGCATCTAGTTGCACAATATGGTTCATGCATAGCTTGACAGCTCAGCTGCTTTAGGGAGGGGCAATTTCTGGCAATAGGAAGGCAACATTGAACACTTCCCTAACTAATAGGGCTGTGTCCTCCCCCTTCCTCCACTGCCACCACTATATTGTGCAAAATTGGCAAAATACCCAGAAATTCCTTTGAAAACATTGTGCACCATGAAGACACCCATTGTTTTTGAAAACAGGGTCAGGCTTTCTCAGAGGTCAGGAACAGGACTTGTAAAGCCAATGTTTATACATGTCTGAATGATTCAGTTCTTCAGTACTTGGGACTGACAACTGGATTTGCCACAGGATGGGTGTGCTCGTGGGCCACATGGGCCCCCACCCATGCTTTGAGAGCTCCAAGAACCCTCCCAGCCCCCTATTGTTTTTATTTGCTGGAAGCCTCCTGGAACGATGAATTATAAATGAGACTCACCCAAAACCACTAAAATGCCTATTCCACCTCTTAAAATGGAAATCTCCATCTGATGATTTCCTACTTTGCCCCTCCATCTTATGGATTTGGGGCTGCGATGCATTCCTCAGTGAGTCCTAAGATCAGAGGTTGGCCCCTGAACCATTTCAACCTGCCTGCCCTCAATTTAGCCTGCATATGCATAGTCTCTTCCTGAGTTTCCAAGTGAAAAGTATTTGTTTAAACTTACAAAGCCTCAACTGCTGGAAGTTTAAGAAGATGCTGCACTGCATATGAGTTTGGCTACTGATGAGATCAGATGGAGAGTCAGTCCTCTGAAGTTTGAATCCGGAATTATCTGGAAACCTGGAGTGCAAACTCTTGTTTACAATGTGTCTGAAACCCTCAGTCCAAAACCATTTGCTAGATTCTTACAAGTTTTTGAGATAGCTTTAAAAAGCTAGTTCGTATCAGTTTTGTACTTGGAATGCCTAGAATTCTCACGGCTTTCCTTTGTTGTCGTGTCAGGCTGTGCTGGATCTAAGTGGCAGGAAACTGGTGGGACTGTATGTCTTTCTCATATGTTCAGGCAGTCTGCATTAAAATGAAGTGAGAAAACCTGCCTTCTTGCAGCTCACCGATTTGAAATGGATGCATTTCAGCTCTCTTAAAATACTCAAAAGGGCAGGAATATTTCTGGCCATCTTTTAAAGAGCTTCCTTCTCCCCACCCCCACTCCAGTAAATATATAATATATTTTGCCTCTTTCTTTCTTTCTTTCTTTCTTTCTTTCTTTCTTTCTTTCTTTCTTTCTTTCTTTCTTTCTTTCTTTCTTTCCCTCCCTTCCTTCCTTCCTTCCTTCCTTCCTTTCTTCCTTCCTTCCTTCCTTCCTTCCTTCCTTCCTTCCTTCCTTCCTTCCTTCTATGCAGTCTCAGACCCAAAGCAGTTGTTCCCTATGTGCAGTTGTCTGCAAATGAGAATTCCAAGGCAAATTATGAAGAGCAGCAAACCTAAAAGGATCAGAAAAGAATGCAGTTGGGAGCAAGTACTGCTCCAGGCTTATTTCAATATTGCACCCTATCACTTGTCTGCTTAACTTGGCAGATCCTTTCAGCTGACACTTCTGTGCTCCTTTACCTTTGGTAACCTTCCATCTCAAGCAGAGATGGAGAATCATTGGCCCTCCAGATATTTTAGGCACCAGATCACAGAATTGCTTAAGTATTAGTCACAATAGCTGGTGCTTCAAAGAGTTGACATCCATAACATCTGGGGCACCAAAAATTCCCCACCTTTGAGTTTTCCAGGATTGTGAGGAGAGATGGCTCTTACTACTTATATTTCTTACCTACATGGTTATGATTTATTAATCACCAGTGTTATATTAAGAGTCTTGTCTCAGTGGGTGGAGTGCATTAAGTTGTATGTGAAAGGTCCCAGGTTTCAAAGCTCTCCTCTGGTACAGCTGGGATGATTTATTCCCAGTACTCTGGAAATCACAAAGGATATAATATTGAATAAGGTTTGAAAATGTTACATTTTTGGACTACAGATCCAGAATTCTTTAGGCAGCACAGTCAGTGACGACAGTGGCTGGGGATTCTGGGAGTTATAATTCCGAGAAGTGGTTTTTTTTTTCAAGAATTGACCCTGGGTGAAAGGGACCTATCTTAATGTAGAGTGCATTTTCATACTCATATAAAGAATAGTGCCAAATGAACTGGAACTGGAATAGAGGAGGGCAACAAGGATGATGAGGTGACTAGACCCAAGACTTTTGAAGACATATTGAAAGAACTGGACATGTTTAACCTTGAGATAAGAAGACTGCGGGAAGATGTGATGGCATTCTTCAAATACTTGACAGATTGTTATACCAAGGAGGGGTAGGATCTGTTCTCAATCATCCTAGAGTGCAGGGCACATAATTATGGGTTCAAGTTACAGGAAGCCAGATTGCAACTGAATGTCAGGAAAACCTCCTGTTAGGGCAATACATCAATGGAACCAATTACTTTGGGAAGTGGTGAGTGAGCAGTACATAAGTGGAACCAATTACCTTGGGAAGTGGTGAGTGATCCAACGCTGGAGACATTCAAGAGAAAATTGGACAAACATCTGTCAGATCTACTTTGATTTGGATTCCTTCATCGAGTAAGGGGTTACTCAGTGGCCCTATAGGCCCTTTCCAACTCCATTATTCCAAGATTCTATGAATTTGAGTTGACCTTCTTTCAACTGAAATATGAACACCCAGAAAAAGAGCTTGAAAACACAAAATATTTTGACTCGCATGCCTTCCCTCGCTAGCCTCATGAAGATTTCTGCAGAACTCAAAAGACTGCATATTTTAAGTATGTATAGTAGAGCTTAATAAAGTTAATGCCCATCCGTGACTTTTGGATTTTGTTTTAAGCAATACTTCGTCCAGCATAAACACTTGTTTAAATAATGTGAAATCTCTCAGTATTGCAGTAGGCAGCTAAAACTAATGCCTTTTACTCAGTGTAATTCTGATCCTGCTGTGTGTTTTTTCAAAGGGGACATTCCAGCTGGTTGTAAACTAATGAGGAATCGTTCAGAGTGTAAAGACATAGATTGGACAACATATACTTGTGTGCTGGGATTTCAGGTATTTGGTGAGTAGCAGTTTTCTGTTTAATGCTTGTTTAGTTAATACTTTCAGTTGTAGCCTGTTTCTTGTGTGTGATCTCAAGGCGTCATACATGGCTCTCCTTCCCATTAACCCACAGTGATGTACCTTGTGAGGTACATCAGCCCAAAAAAAAGTAAGTAGCTCAAGGTGATCCATTGAATATATGGATCACTGAGATTTAGAATCTGAATCTACAGGCTGTAGACCAATGGTTCCCACCTTTGGGTCCCCAGATGTTTTTGGACTAAAATCACAGGAGACTTCACGACTAGTTGTGCTGATCAGGATTTCTGGGAGTTGTAGCCCAGGAACATCTGGGGATCCAAGATTGGGAACCAATGCTCTGGACCAGCATTGTAATTACTATGCCACAAAGGCTTTTTGAAATTTAAAGACCGGTAATATTCCAGGAAATTGACATGAAAAGATATTACTTGTAGAGTTTCTTAACTTTGCAAAGTGGAGATGCTATAGATTTTTATTTTCTTTCTTTTCTCAACAGTAAAATGAAACAATGATAGAAACATCTTTAACTTATTTGGTGCACACAGTGCTTCACTTCAAGTTGATCCACATCTGTATCCATATCAGAGTAGTATTTAGAGAGGCAGATTGCAATAGAAAAGTATTGGGCAGGGAATGTGTTAACATTCCTTCCCTCATAAGTGCTTCTTCAACTCAAACAGTTTGATGTGTATTTTTGAAAAATGCCCCGTTACTAATTTGGGCAGCAAATTTCACTCACACTTTGTTCCAAGACAGAACAAAAGTGTGCTTTCTGTTTTGAAACTGGAAGTGACTTTTCAGTCACTTATAGCTGTGGTAGGAAATAGTGATGGGCTTGAAGTGGGATTCAGATAAATACAATGGACTTGAGACGTAATATTTTTATTTATTTGATTTTATTTATTAGATTCCTATCCCACCTTTTTAGACAAAGTCTACTCCGGGCGGGTTCCATTAAACATTGTAAGCTAAAACAGTTAAAAACAATTCAAAACAATAGTGATTAGTAATGCTAAGTAATGCTCAAGATGGGAAAACAGAAAATTATAATAACAATAAAATCAAGTATTGGCAGGAGGGGAGGACTGCCTAAAGAGCCAAGTTTTTAATTGGCTCTTAAAAACACCCAGTGAGGGAGCCAGGCGAATCACTGATGGGAAGTTATTCCAGAGCCGAGGGGCCACTGCCGAGAAGACCCAGTTTCTTGTTTTTCTTTTCGGGCCTCTCTCGGTGTTATGCCCCTCAACCGTCCCTCCTGGCTATGGCGAGTGATTTGGGTAGATCTAGTTGGGAGAAGGTGATCTGCCAGTTATTGAGGTCCTAAACCGTTTAAGTGTTTTTCATCTCCCTGAGTTTGTGTACATGAGATCATTCTGGATAATTCTGTAACTGCTAATTCTAGCATCGCATGCTGGAGTCTCATACATACTGATGTATTCGGTTCTGTTAACTTGGTATGTAGATGATGGGGTCTGAGGGGACAGTCATCATAACAGATTCTCTGCCAAGTAGAGTGAGTCCTATAGAACTGGTTCTACTTGGTCCAAAAAACTTTTTTGCCTCTCATTTTATTCATTCATTCAGTCTCCCAGACAGGGTGAGAAATTGACCTAGGAACTTCTGAAGTTCCCTATTCCTTCTCTAGATGATGATGGACTGGAAGTCCCCTTGCCATTGACTATAGGCCCTGCTGGCTGGGGCTGCTGAGAGATGGTGCCTACCAATGTCTAGAGGACCATAAAAGTTTATCATGCATGTGATAAGTGGGTGGTAGCCTTAATTCTTCTTATTTTGCTGTGTTTCAGGAGTGTGGCCTGAGGGATCAGATGGAACAGATATAAATGCTCTTGTCAGATCCCACAACAGAAAAGTGATTGCTGTTGCTGATGACTTTTGTAAAGTCCATCTGTTTCAGTATCCCTGCTCCAAGGCAAAGGTATGTCTGTCTAGACTCCCATTTCAGAAGGAAAGGTGGGATGAGGCAGAATCATACATGTGTGGAAATGCACTCTAAGTAGGCATTGAAGAGAATTCTGGGGATGTTGAGATTCTTGACAGAATTCACATCTGTTGAAACTTGTTGCAAGACAAGGAACTTGACTCAGAATCTGTATGATAGCACAGCTTGCATGCCCACGTTTTAAAAGCGGTCGCAGTGACCAGATATGTGTGTTTAGTCGTTTAGTCGTGTCCGACTCTTCGTGACCCCATGGACCAGAGCGTGGCTAAGAATGTGTATTAAAAATACATAAAATGGGTTCAGTATACACAAATGCATGTAATAAGACTGTACAAATAAATGCTTGCATTACAGAAAATGTGTATGTATATCCATGATGCATACACATGGGTGCATGTGCTTAAACTAATGATAGCATAGTTCAGTATCACACACAAGAAAACCATGTCCTGCACTAAGCAGATGCACTAGGAGAAACCCTGATGTTTACTGTATGAGTGATAGATTTTAGGAGGTAAAAGTCATCATGGACAAGTGGAAATTTCCACAGCCAGGCTAAATTAGTTCTGTAGAACCATGATGTTCAAACTGCTTCTTTGTTTCTCCACCTATTTTACTTACTTGTTGCAATTTTTAAGAAACATGTTGCAGTTATTTTTCATATAAGCTGCTTGAGTGCTGTGATTACTATGGATATATTTAGTTTTATGATTGGGTTTCTTACCTGCTTTTGTTTGGCAGATATAACATAGTCATAGCTGTAAAGCGAGTAATCTGGGGAGGGGTGGTGATGCTGACATATCTAGATCAATTATTCTGGTAAATGGGATTCCCAGGAGCTTTAATAGTATAATGCTATAATATTCTGCAAAGTTATCCTACCTATCCCATTCCAAAGCTTGGAAAAAATAGCTTTTTGGACTACAAGTCCCAGTATTCGCAGCCAGCATTCCCAGTGGCTATGATGGCTTTCTGATTTGGGGAATTGTTGTCTAAAAAAACAGCTTTTCAACTTCTGGTGAAACTCCCTCTAGCATACAATATTCAGTGTCAATTAGGCTTTTGTGGAATTCTTGGCTGGTCTTGTAAGGATGCATATTTCTTGAGAATGTGTACAACATGTACAATTTATTGGAGAAGGCAGGAAAGGCAGATTTGGGAAAGTTTTTCTAGTTGTGACATTGAGATAGAACAGTTGTTCGAGTAGATAGGCTGTTCCTATCGTAGACTTTGATTTCCTGGTGTGTTTTATATCCTCAGGCCCCAAGTCATAAATACAGTGCCCACAGCAGCCACGTGACCAATGTCAGCTTCACTCATAGTGACAGTCATTTGATTTCAACTGGAGGAAAAGATATGAGTATCATTCAATGGAAACTTGTGGAGAAAGCAACTTTGCCACAGAATGACATTGCCATAGACATGGGCACGCCCAAAATGCCTGTAAGCACCGCTGAGAGCTTCATACAGCAGAGTCCCCCTGTTCCCCTTGTTCAGTCATTTGATGAAATGGCAGCCACTGAAAGCGTGACAGATGGTTCCCTAATATCTCTGGAGTGTAATCTGGAGCAGACTGTGGAGGCCAACGAGGAGCAGAACGAGGAACAAAGTGAGGGGAGCAGCCTGGACCCCGGTGAGCCAAACTGTGAAGAGCCATCCAACGAAACCAGTGAGGAACAGAGCAAATGCACTGTTATGGAAGACCAGCCTGAAAATTCTCTGATGTCATAACAGCTCAAAACTCCAGATGGTCTTTATATCCTGTTGTTGTTTTTCCTTCAGTGTGCATACATTTGTAAAGGGCAATAGGGTTCAGGAAGGGGTAAGGGAAACAGCTCTCTATCAGGAACCACTCCACTTGTTGGGTTTCCATTGAAGGCTTTCAGTCGGATCTTCTGTTTTTAATGCATGGCACTATTGTAAGGACCCACCTTGACAGTTCTGGTCAATGACCGATCAAGATAGTAAGACGTAACCATACATTAAAAACAACATTCTGAAATTGCTTTCCAAAAGAGGCAGGGGAGTAGAAGGAAAGGAGGAATTGGTTCCAGCAGTACGCTGGGGAGAGGGAAAAGGAGTCTTCTGTATGAGAACTCTTAACACCAAACAGAAGCGTTGAGTAATACTTGCTGTGTAATGCATCCCAGGTGCAAGCTCTTTACAGAGCGCTCCTTTCTTTTTTTATATTAAAAAGAGAAGGAGAGGAGGACACTGTCCCAGCAGAGCCATATAACACACCACACGTACTGCCTTCTTAATCAACACCTATGCAGTTTTCTAACACTAGTAATTCCTACTAGCCTCTGGACATTATCTGCCCTGGGTGCTGCTACTTCTAAGACAACTTATATTACAGAACACACCTCATTGTTCCCAGTTCATGGATCTTAAAAGATCGAACTTAAGACAGCAAGCTTTGTTTTTTTAAAAAAAAAAATCTTGTTTTTTTTTGTTGTTGTCCCTCTCCCTCTCCTTCTTCTTCTTCTTTTTCTTCTTCATTTTTTTTAAATTGATGGCTGCCGTCTGATGTCTTTTCAAGGAGCTAATTGCCTGTACATTATCAAAACTCAAGAACGCCTACTGTGACGATGTTGTACTGACTTGACTGCATATGACTAAAGTTCTATTTCTCAAGTTAAAGCTTGGCCTTCAGATACAACTCATTTCCTCAATAAGAGGCTAAATATTAGAAGAATACCATTAAGTTATGAAATCTGGTGCTTGGGATTAATATAATAAACCAATCACCTATGAAATCTTTAGGAATAACCATAACAACGAAAGACAGATAGGCTTTTTCATAGCCTCCTTTTTAATAGCTGTAATATAAATGTCACATTTACTTGGATTATGTTGGATATAGTTGGATTTTTTTTTCTTTGTGTGTTGTAATTTTTGTGTATTTGTTTTTACTCTCTTTCCCTGGTTTTATAAGCCGTGCAGCTCTAAGATGGCTGGACCTGGCCAGTTGTGGGATATCATGGCATTTTAAGATACATTTGGAAAACTAGCTTTTAAACAAAATATATGTGGGGGCAAATCCTGTCAGCTACATTTTCTTAAGTATCTAGAATTTCCTACATTTAAAAAGTTTGCTGAAAAAATTCCTACTTGTTTATGTTTTGATTACATAGGATTCTCTTGTTTTATAAATTGTGCTGATATTTTAGCATTTAGTTAGAAATCATGTTTAGAAATTTTGGATGAGTTTGTTAAGTCTTAAATGTGCAAGCGTTTACGTGATTGTGCCATTCCAAAGTGCATCAGAACTGTCATTCCCTTCTAGTATCTTCTCAGGAGTAAATGCTTCAGATCAGGTATCTCATCAATTCATCATTGGTAACATTTGGGAACTCCCAAAGGACAGATGGACAGACACACCCATACACACAGATATAATTTCCTCTTGTTTACATCCATTCCGGAAACCTCAAAATAATTCTCTACAAATGGAGAGAGATGTGGATTCCAAGCCAACCCATCGTTTTCATTGTTTTGTTTTAAACTGTACTGTTAAATATTAATGTTATTGGAAAGCCCTAGTCTGTGACTGACCACTTCACTATTTTAAGAGTGGGTGATACAAATTTAATGGCTAAAATTCAGTAGCAAGTCACAATTAGAGTAGACTCATAAAGTCATTGAAACTTATAGCGGAGTTGACTCACCAAATCCCCACTGTTTCAGTGGGCCTATTCTGTCTTCAACATACTACTGGATTTAAGCCATTTTGTCAGGAAATGGATTCCTTTGAGTGGTATCCAGTAAGTTTCGGGGTGGGGGGGACATCCACCAATGGAAGAGGGTGTTTTTAACTATTCACATGCCATATCTTCAACAACAATTTGTTTAGAAAGAAATTGGAGTGGGGCATACAAGAGCCTTCACAGCAGGAAGAGAATAAACAAAAAAGCAGTTTCTCCTACTTCTGATAGATGCCTTTTGAGCGTCGAGTTACACTCACCAAAATTGACACCAACTTTTAAGTAGGTGGGGGAAATGTGGCTCATGAGCCATATGTGGGCCCTCAGTTGCATTTTTGCAGGCCCTAAGTCTCTCCTGAGTCTCTTGCTCCCACTGGCAAAAAGTGCAAAAAAGTTTTTTTTCAAAAAAAGAACAGAAATCAGGTTTTCAGTTCCAGAAGGCCTCCAAGGTGGTAATTTCTTGCTTTAGTTAGGCTGGGGTGGGGAACAAGCTGGCCCCCCACCCAAAAAAAACATAAGTGGCTATTTCCTGGCATTTCCTGTTTTGAATCTTTCCTCTATTTTTTACCATGGGGGGGGGCTTGGTGTAGCCTGTGATGGTCTTAGATGTGACAAATTGGCCCCCAAGCCTACAATAATTCTCCATTCCTCTTTTCAAATGAATGGTGAAAGGTGAAAAAAGTACTTCTAGTAAGCAAGAGACCCCTTCCTTATATCTTCACTGAATACCACATACATTACATTTCATTTAAGCAAACATTGCTTATCACCTTGGGGTTGCCATGTAAAAGGAGAATTTAGTTTTAATTTTTCTGGTGTTGTAGTTCAAATGAGTTTTGTTTTTTTTAATGCAAAAAATAAAAAATGAAAATGAAAAAGCAAGCCTTACAGCTTTGGATTGCTGGCAACTACTGTTTAATGGGTAATTAAATCTGTGATAATGGATGGAAATGAGTGGGATTATGTTAACTGTAGATGTTCTAGGGGAAAATTGTGAATGAAATATGATTTAAGAGTGTCATGTGAAGATGTTTGAGCCATTTCTATCTATCATGCATTCCTGTCTCATGGCAGAAAAATTTGAAGATTTAAAAATAAGAATAATAAAAGAATCAAAATAACGCAGTGGTCCTTTCATTGACAAGGTCACCTCTGGTGAATCTCTTAAAGGCCTTGCTTCTGTTTTCCGTAGTCCAGTTCCTTTGTCCCAATTTCATAGGCTTGAGAATGGGTTTGGCAAAGTATTCCACCGGTACAGTTACCCGAAGCAGTGAAAGAGGGAATGCAAATCACTCTTGCTTCCTGTGTTGATGTATCTTTGGAATTTCTAACACTCACGTTGGTCTATGGAGAACTTTGCTCTGTGTCAACCTGGTATGTGAAAAAGCATTTATAGGCATCCTGTCTTCGCCAAGTAACCATAAGAGCCTCGTGGCGCAGTGGTTAAAACGCTGTACAGCAGCTGAAACTGTGCTCACGACCTGGGGTTCAAATCCCAGGTAGCCGGCTCAAGGTTGACTCAGCCTTCTATCCTTCCGAGGTCGGTAAAATGAGTACCCAGCTTGCTGGGGGGGCAATGTGTAGCCTGTATAATTAAATTGTAAACCGCCCGGAGAGTGCTTGTAGTGCTATGGAGCGGTATATAAGTCCCTCCCCCCAAAAAAACTATAACCCTAGAGCTCAAAACAAAAAAAATAAAAAGCTTCACACAAAAAAATACTTGATTACAATACTTGCCTGTAATTTAGTATATTCCTAAGTAAAAGTTAACTATTTAAATTTTTTTAAAAAGAACACACATGATGACTATACAATTTTGCATCTTGTTTGACAGAGTCACCTATTAGTTTTATTGTCTCAATAATGAAAGAGATAATTTAGGGTTCTGAAACATTAGAAGCAGTAGGCTTATTACGTTGCTGATTTAACCTTTTTATTCAGACTGGGTTCCCAAATTGTACATCCGTTGGGATAGAAAAACCCTGCTGTACTGAAGTTGCAATGACATGAGTTATTTACTGCAGTTAGCAATTATACTGCTGTTGTCCTAGAGCGGCGATGGAGAACCGTAGCAAAGTTTCTCTAGGATCTTTCAGGATGTTACAGTCTCAGTCTTCTCATAAGGAGAAAATAGGCATAATGCTGAGCGAATTTGTAGAAGACATACTACTTAAAGTGATGGAAGACATTCATTTATCATAGCATAACATAGGCATCCTTCAGTCTCGAGAGACTATGGTAGTAACATGCTCTGAATCGAGGAGTGTCCTCTCCAGAGCATAAAGCCCAGGTAAGGTAATATGGAGGATAGGCTGTTACCCAAGCAGCAGATCTCCCCTCTCCACATTGCTGAAATGGTCCAATGGAAAGGCAAGAGCCAATACAACTGGTTACAGCAATGTCGCAGGAGTTGGCAGAACGACACATGCTGCCTTCGGGACTCCAGCTCCGGAATTCATTTATCACAACATGTTATTTACTTCACTTTTACTACCTTGCATTTAGTTGGCTTTGTGTTGTGATTGGTCTCTGGAAGGGAAGTGGGAACTTCATTTGCAGCCTGCATCTTTGAGGAAAGTGTATTGTGGGAAGGAAAATGATGTTAATAGAAGACCATTCACAGATCCAGAAAACTAGGCATATATAATGCACATTCAAAGAAGTGTATTCCTTTTCACTGTATATGAGACACAGAACTAACCTCCAGAATTCCTTTCTTTCTCTCTCACCTTCGCAACTTCTCTACCCACCCCAAAAGACAAAGCTTCCCAAATCTACTCCTCTGGCTCAAAAGTTTTAGAGCTTTTCCAAGCCCTCCTTATTGGACCATGTGCAGAGGCCTCATTTTAATTCTGTGATCAGGAGGAAGGAGTGACAACTTCACTCCAAATCTTTGTGTAGAACAAATGGCTCCATCCAGAGAAACAAGGAAGAGACTTGCTAACATTTCTTTGCTGATTTGTTTGTTTCTTTTAAATTCCCTGGGGGAGTAGGCTAGCAACCAGGCAGAAACAGGATCTTTAGGGTACAATGCCCTTCTGGCTCCATCTGCTTTGGTGAACAGTTTCTTGGAGTTGCAGTCCAAGAACACCTGGGCTACCCAAGGTTGGGAACTACTAAGTTTGGTCAACAACTATTTGCTCTTCTGACCCAGTCCATTTTGCTGTGGAAGCAAAAATAATAATAAATGCCTGAAAAGGGCCAGCTCTGTCTGGCATTTGTCATAATTGGAGTTTAATACCTCTGCATGTTGAACATCTCCATTCTGCAGGTTTACTTTTTTGTTGTTTAAGAAATGCAATTGGAACTGCAAAGCCTCTTGGTCTCTAAGGAGTTAATGCTGGATGAAAAGCAGAATTTAATTGCTTGATGTTTGCTCATGCACATTCCAAGACAGATTGAACAGGCTTCGTTGTTGCAATCTTTTTTCCTTATATTTATTTGGGACAGATGTTTTACTTAGGCTTTAATCATTAAAGGATGGGGAAACTGCAGTCAGTCTGATTATGCTATTCCAAAGAGTAGATGCTTTTCGTAGTTAAGTACTCCACATCCAGGAAAGACAAATGGTTGCATGTAAAAAGGGTGTTTTCAGGAGGTCCTTTTCTCAGAAACCTCCTTGCTAAGCCCCATTTTCTTCTCATGGATGCATCTCCATTCCTTTTACCCACTCAACTCTGTCCATTGCTGCAAAGCTCAGAAGTCCAACTTAGATATTTTTAGATGAGCATGAAGGCAATCACTTTGCTGTTGGGTAATGTGATGTTGCTGAACATAGAGGTTTCAGTTGGCTGTACCACAACCCAAAGAAATCTTAGGCGGATGGGGAAAATGACCCTTCAAGTGTTTGGAATTTATCTTCCAGAAGCCCCAGTCAGCATGACGATCATTCAGGGTTTATGAGTATTACAATGGAAAAATCTGGAGGACCATCCTTACCCTGGTCCATTAACTGGAACATAAAGAATACAGGAAGGTTCCCTGTACTGGGTGAAGTGCTTGGTCCAACTACTCCAGTAATATAAACTTTGACTGGCAGTGACTCTGGGATTTCACCAAGGCAGCCATTCTAATGCCACTTGAGTCAGTGTGCATCAAACATGCAACCTTCTGTGTGCAAAGCATGCACTCTGTTACAGCCCAGTTACCTAGTGCAGTAATCCTAAACATCTGCCACATATCTCTGCTGCAAAGAAAACTTTCATGATCCAGAGGAATGAAATTTGGGATCTCAGGCAGATGGTTTTCCCATCCTCCAAAGGTTTTTGATAGCCAGCAGAAGAGGGCAATCACTGCTTATTCCTCCCTATACCCTGAGAACAAAATTCCAAGTGCTAGATTTCTGTTCCAGAAATTCCAGAGAATTTTTTTGGATGGCTGAGAGTTGAGGAACAAAAGTCAAGCAGGGAAGGATTGAGGTATAATAATTGCAGGATGAGGATGTATTTATATGGGGCCAGGAAAAGGTAGCAAAATCAATGTAAGGAAATTACAGAAGGGCTTTGTGACTAGAAAGCTCAGAAAAGTGAAAACAGCAGAGTTCTAGATCAGTGGTTCTCAATCTTCAGCCTTCCAGATGTTTTGAACCTAAGCATCCCAAACCGCTGCCCATTGGCTGTGCGAGCTGGAAGTTCTTTCTGCAAGATCAAAAGTTGAGAAGCAGGTTCTAGATCAGCTTAAAAGCCTCTAGGTGTTCTGTACTATACCTCTGATGATTGTTGGTAATGCAGTTTGGTGCTAATGGGATCCGCAATGCAAAAACATACGAGCCAGAATTCTACAGGTCTTCCTGTACGGCTAGTGGAACTTCCTGGGACTTAACAATGGCTAACGGACAAGGCGCTGAAATACATCTTGGTGGTGCAATTGAGCGTGAGAACAGGAATGTCTTGGCTGTATTTAGTTGCATCAAGTTATGCACACCTTATAGTGAACACTAACAAGATTCTGACTGCGGAGATCACCTGATTGAGAGAAGCTGTTTTAGAGATTAGAGATGAAAAATGTGCATCTGTCTAGAGATTGTTAAAGTGTAAGTCCTATCAGCCCTAGCCAGCACGAGAGTTACAGTAGGAAGCCCACACCTTTCTAAACCGCACTCCAGTTCTAGAGAAAGATGAGACGACAGCAGAAGAGCGTCTCAGTTGAAGCAAGAGAGACAGGATTTGCACTGGAGCCTTTGCCAGAAAGGAAGTGGCATGTATTAGCTGTATGGTGAGGTGACACAATCTTGGCTTGAGTTCTGTTCTCAAACTTCAAAACTAGTTCTCTGAAGGTGTAAATAAAGAACAGTTTGATCTGTTTTACAGCTTGTGACAACGAAGAAACAGTACAAGCTTTTTGTTCCATTTAAAAACTCCCCTTGCTTTCTCTGTATTTCATTAATCATCATCAATGCTGAGATAAAGTTGGAACCAAATCATTTTATTGTTATTATGCAGGCTTGCACTCTGAATTTCCAGCTGCAATTATTTCAAACATTTCAGTATGGCAGTTTCCAAAAAGGCTTTTTCTATCCAGAAAAATGGCTATTTCTGTTGTGCTCTCCACTCCCTGGGTTTAAAAATAATGAAATAAAACAAATTGCCAAGTCTCTCATAGGGGACTAATAATTGTAATAGTCTAAATACAGCATGGCTCCTTAGAAATTATACTCATCCTCTTATAAACATGTTCTTTATCTTCTACTACCATTTGTCTTTGTCCAACTAAAAAAGGTAAAATAAAACACAGGCCTTTGTCAAATCCTTCCCAAGCCATGTAGGCACCATTTATATGAAGTCAACATGGCACTCATCATGCAGTAGGATAGTGTACAACTGAGGAGACCACAGTTGGAATGAGGACCTGCAAGTGGGAAAATGTGGAGACACGTTGTTTGGATGTGGTTGTTAAGAAATGAAGCAACAGGCAAGGCTAGGGATAGTACATAACACAATTTTATATGTTTTGTTTTCATACTTAAAGCAAATTAATAATAATAGTGTGCCATCAAGTCAATTCTGACTTATGGCACCCCTTTTCATGGTTTCCAGGCAGAGAGTACTCAGAAGTGATTTATCATTCCCTTCTGGGGGCACCCTGGGATTATGCAGCTTGCCCAAGGTCACACAGGTTGTCT